TCAATCGTCTGAAGGGGAAGTCGCCGACACCATACAAAGGCTGCGCAACAAAGCTATGCCCGCTGGAATCTAGAAGTCTCGTGTCGGCACTCTGGCGTCTTGGCTCCATGAGGTGTTTGAACAAGCGTAGAGAGGCAAGACCGTTCCTGATAACTAGGGCTCAGGCATCCTTGTATCTCATTGATGAACGTTCATCTGAACACTTACGGAACTCATCTCTCCTGCTTTGTCTTGAGCCTCGAAAAAGGCCCTGACAACCGTAACAGCTGGAATTAGGCAAAAAGTATTGCCGGCAAAGACAAGGGAGACAAGTGCGTTTGACTCTGACCAAAAAAGGGTCGCGAGTTCGAGGCTCGAGTGGAGCAGCACTTGAGTCTGGGTATGACTGGCGGACGACGCCTAATGAGCCCGAAATGGCCATTCTAGTCTCCCATATCTTTGCCGGCAGTACTATCATCCTTTTACCTGTCTACAAGAATGGAAATAAAACAAGATGCGAGAACTACCGTGATATAAGTCTTATCGACGTTACTGCGAAGATCTTTGTTATTGTCCTTCTTAGGCTATTCCAGTCTGTGTATGACTTTAGGACGAGGCCCATCCAAGCTGGATTCCGCGCTGAGGGTATGTGTGTGGACCAAGCATTCATACTGAAGAGAATCTTTGAATCCCGCCAGAGGTACCAACAACAAACGGTTGTCTGCTTTGTTGATTTTGCCGCTGTGTTCGATTCCCTCCACCGTGAATTCCTATGGCAGATAATGGCACTAGAAGGTGTGCAACGAAAAATCATCGCTGTGATCAAGGCTTACTATAGCTCCACCCCTGCGTGGCTTCTGGTTCAAACCAAGTTTTCAGAACCCTTGGCTCTTCGGTACGGTGTTCGATAAGGTCATATTCTTTCGCCCATTCTATTCATATATGCCAATGACTGGATTATAGAAAAGGCCCTACATGAAGAGGACCGTAGTGAGTTTGCATCCGGGGGCCGGCTCACTCATCCCGACTAGGCTAGTGATGTTGCCCTGCTAGCCTCAAGGTTTGCTGGTCTACATTTTATGGTGTCACGGGTGAAGGAGGTCGTTCTGTCAGTCGATTTGTCCAAAACGGAGGAAAGACCGGCGTTTTCA